CGTTAAGCAAAATACTGTTGTGTACACCAACGTGGGCTATGTCCTTTGACAGGTCTGGAGTGCATGTGACCTTTTCCACTTGTGCTTTCCATATATAAGAACACAGTATATATAATAGGCAGGGTAGAAACTAAAGCAAAACACAAGCTATGCAAGGAACTGGAATCAACAGAGCCATGACTAAGAAAACGTCTTGGGAGTGTCATATTCATGTTTGCACGTTCAAGGCCTGGCTATACTTCATGATTCATTCAAATGTTTTAAAGTTTTTTTAAACTGTTGGCATTAAGAACTTCGTATCAATCTATCATTGAATGTGTCAGAGGAGAAAACTAAGCAAGCAGAGGCTGGCCTAAGTGAGCTGAATGACAGACACTATGGTCACAGAAAATTGAAATTGTTAACATTTTGAATTATAGAGTATCTTTGCTTTGCTGCAGTGAATAAATTCACTACTGTCCAAAAACAAAATCAACTTCTACTTATGAGATGGAATTAAATAATTAATAAAGGAAACCTCACAGAAAAAGTTATTTTCAAAGGTGAATAAATTCAGCTGAGATTTTTCAGTTTTAATAAAAGCAATGGGCCCAGAAGCCAGTCCCCTGCTTACCTGGGTATGGATTGGGTATTTTTATGGCAATAAATTATATATACCAAGAAAAATGAATCTGACATCATCTTCAAGGCTTCTTAAAACAAAGCATGGTGGAATAATGCCAAGAATAATAAAGTTTAAAAACAAATAAATGGCAAATTAGTGACTGCTTCCTTCATCAAAAGATTCCACTCCTGAATCACTAGCAGCAGCACTGATTTTTTCCTGTCGTCTTCGCATAATTTCTTGCAATTCCGAACTGCCATTGCTATCCTAGAAAACAAACATGGGTCAGACAAGATGGTTACTGGCTTGTGTCAACAGTGGCTCGTGCAATGAAAAGGATCAGAGTAAAAATCGACTGTGGTTTTCTTCTAGTATTTCCCTGGGAAAACTAACTCTTTCCCCTCATGTAAATGAAGATTCTGGACTATCCCAACATATGATAACTAATAACTACGAATTTTACAAAATGTCTTGAAGCAGTTCATTCACTACACCTTCCATGTGCATTCAAGATCAATAATGAAGGTGGAAAGCTCTAGATTCCCTGAAAGAGTACATGTATATAAATAGGAACAGTAACACAGTAATTTATGGAACACTTTTCAGATCACGGAAGACACCCATCTTCCTTTAGCAGATTTAAAAACAGGTCCAAGAGTGGGCTCAGAAAGCCAAGTTTCCCTTCAGACATTTCTGACCTGAGCCCTCTGCTTACTCCGTCTCATCAGCAGAGATTCCTGGCAACACAAGTAAGAAATCTGGAAGATGAACTAGATCTAAGAAGAGGGTGGGGTGCGAAGGTGGGAACCTGAAGACCCTTATGCAGCCAGCCTCAGCTTCAAATCACACCCAGAGAACTGGCAGCAAGAGATCAGAAGGAAGTGGGCAGCAAACGCAGTGACACTGACACATAGTTCTGCAGTGAAGCGATTCAGGAAATTTAAGAATACAGAATTTTGTAACATAGCTTTAAGGAGCCTTTTATATACTCTTAACAAAGTTAGAATGTATACTGGTAATAAAATAGCTCGAGGAACTATATATTCCTTATTCATACTCAACCTAGAGAAAACAATCATCCAACCCTTCTATTAGACTCCTAAGATCAATGTTGTAGGAAAAACTTCCAACAGAAATACAATTTCACTCAATAGAGAAAGGTTACAGGATTATATGTACAAAGCTGTTCTACCTTAACTATTGGATTTATACAATATGCCTGCTAGAGATAATTATATATCAATTTCATGCCAAAACTTGTATCTTTTCATTTGAGTCCAAGCATAATTTTCGTGCAACTGTCAAGAGCTGTGGGATGTAACAACTGGAAAACACTACCCTTCCACAGCTTACTGGAAGGACAGTAGCTAGAAGCTTAAGTATATCCAGTCTAGAGAATATTTACTCTCCTGACTTCATACAGACAACTTTGATAAAATAATTACTCTTCAGGACTCTCTTATTTTCAATGATCCTTAATATTTCTCCTGAGATTACTTAATGTATTATTAGGTACACAGTTAGGATTTTAAAACTTCATAGCCTATAAAATCTCCAAACTAAATATTAAAAATGGGCAAAAGAATTCTGGCCTCCTAATTCACTCAGATGTGAATTTTCTTTATTTTGTCAAAATTAAAATTCAATGAAAAAAATGGAAATGAAGTGTTTGTAAATGGGGAGGGGAGGAGAGGGTGAAGGGAGGGCAGGGACAAAGGGAAAAAAATGAGAACCAAGACCTGTCAGGTAAAGGTGCAAGATCCCAATGATGAATGTAACTGTACTGTATACAGAGAATGTACCAATAAACTCAATGAGAAAAAACAATTCTTACGTGGCAGCAGTTAAAACACATGAAATGAGCACATATGACTTTTACTAAAAGTTTTCTAGAGGTTGAGTATGAATAAGGAATATATAGTTCCTCAAGCCATTTTATCGCCAGTATACATTCTAACTTTGTTAAGAGTATATAAATTACTCCTTAAAGGTATGTTGTTTCAAAATATGTTCAAGCTCCATTATATGACCATTTATAATAAATTAATTTTCCTCTATATGGTAATTGATGGTGTCCAGTGACAATTATGAAAAGGTTGAGTATGAATAAGGAATATATAGTTCCTCAAGCCATTTTATCGCCAGTATACATTCTAACTTTGTTAAGAGTATATAAATTACTCCTTAAAGGTATGTTGTTTCAAAATATGTTCAAGCTCCATTATATGACCATTTATAATAAATTAATTTTCCTCTATATGGTAATTGATGGTGTCCAGTGACAATTATGAAAGTCAAATTTAATTCAGCTCTGGAAGAAAAAGACATAGGCCAGAGCAGACAAAACAACTGTTTGCAGAGTTTTTACTCTGCAGTCCCTGCTCTCGCCTATGTGGGAGCCCCCACCGTGGGTGCTGAGTCCTACCTCCAGGGCAGCCTTCTGCACGGTGATCTGGCTGAACACTCTGGCCCCTTCTGGGCACACCGTCCTCAGTTCATCTTTGTTGAGAGAGAAAAGCTGTGCACCATTTAACACTCCAAGACTATTGACCGTCCTGAAAAAAAAACAAAAACCCAAGCATTAAAAACACTGTCCAGAAAAAACAATGAAACAAAATTTTCTGTTTCTGCTACTAACCTCTCTTTTTCAAGCGCTCCATAAACAGGGACACTTCTCAAATGCACTATCTACAGTAAGTAGTTAATGTGATGACAAGTGACTACCAGGAAGTTGACCCTGTGATCCCACGCCTTTTCTAAACAAGATAATTGGTCACCAAGTACCCGAAGACAGTGGTCCTCATACCAGTACTGTTCAGTGTCAATTCCTTGAAATGTGGCCTTTCATGAAAAACAGTTTTGTAGTAATCTGGCAGTTGATTAACTATTGCATCTCCTTTTTTAAATCATGCTGGGTAAATGAATTTATAACGTGTCAAGATTCCCAGGATATGTACTATTCAAATAGTTCAGTGTGGCAACTGCACTCTGTACCAATGTACCAAATACACATAGAATGTTTATAGACATTTCAATGATAAATAGGACCTCTATCATGGGCTTCTTAAAGGAAAACCTATTAATTATATATTATATATTAATCTCTTAAGATTATAATCGATGATGGGCCAAGCTACTTGTTCTTTATTGACTGGAGCCAGCCCATTGGGTCACAGGCGGCAAGCGTGGTTACCACCTTACATGAGCACAGGAGCCCTGCTAGGACTAGAGTCCGACCCTGTGTACCCTGAAGAGGGTGAAAGCAAGCTACCGGGCCTTGCAACTGCTGACAGCTGTCCAAGGGGACCAAAGATGAACAGATACTACCAGCGAGTAAACAGTGGCATCATGTGAGTTATTCCTTCATCTTCCAATCTTTTCTGTAGCTCAGAATAGCCTCTTCCTGAATACGGAACAGTGGTCCACCATTCATCTGGGCTCTAGCATTTTTGAGAATTATCTGTGACATGAAAATGACCTGGCAAGAAATCAGACATGCTTCCTGCTTGGACCCCCAAGGTGCTCAGAGACTCACACAGGGTTGAACCCCTTTGATTGCAGCCATGTCTTCACTTCCTCTGGTGTGGAATCGTATGTGATGTTGATGACTGGCACGTTCTGCCGTGGCACCTGGAACTTCTTCTGTGCGGCGCTGCGCCCAATGGTCAGCCTGTGGATGAGCTCATCCTGCACCTCTTCCATCTGAGACTTCCGTCCTGGACACCAACAGGGAGCGGATCACACTTGAAAATCTTGAACATGGCGGCCCTTGCTAGAACCCCGATCCCAGTGACATGCGGTCCAACAAGGCTTACACTCAAGAGTTCCTTCTATCTTCCCTTACTTTTATTCCAACCCAGTGTACATTCACGACCGATTATTAAAATGTCTTCCTGGCTCTTCTCACCTCTCCTTACTGTGCTTATCTAGCAAAACCTTACCCAGGTTAATTTACCATGCTTCTTATTCTGCACCTGCACCCATGCAGCTGCATGTGACAAAGCAGAGACGCACAGGCTTGCGTCACGCTCATGATGTGAGGTGCAGCCGGGCTCTGCATGCTCCTTGACATGTATGCTTTTCCTCAGGGCTCTGGTTCTCTACTGGGGACAGTTCTGATGCCAGGGGACACTGGCAACATCTAGCTGTTACAGCCGAGAGCCTCATCTCGTGGCCACATAAAGGCTGGGGACTCCCAAATCGTCCTACCAGTCCCATTACTCAGAACTCTGAATCTATTTATGTTGTCTACGTGGCATATTTATTAGATATCTATTAAGTATCTGGAAAATATGTCAAATAAAAAATGTCCAAACCTGAATTTTTGATCTTCCCAAAGTATGCTGTTAGCACATTTTTTACTTGCTTTTAGGCTTCTCAGTACAGTTACTGGCAATGATATCTTCCCAGTTCTTCTGATAAAATACCATGGAGCTATACTTGATTCCCCATTGTATACAATGTGTAATTCATGAGAAAACCCTACAAATTCTACCACCAAAATATGCCTAACATCCAAGGACACCACTCTATTTTTGTTGTTGTTATTAGAAGCTTGGTCTAAGCTACGAGCCAGTTTAACAGGTTTACCTGCTCCTTCTCTCTCTCTCTCTCTCGACCACCGCACCCATCTCTCTTCATTCTCTTCTCAGTATAACAGCATAATGACCTTTATAATCCAAGTCGGATATTGCAGCTCTTCTGCTCAGAGCACTCCCACATGACCCCCCAGGACACATCCCATATGACCACCTCCTCTTCAAGGTAATCATGTGACTCCCCTCCTGAACCCCAAACTCCAACTCCCCAGTACATCCTTGGTGCTTTTCAAATTTAAGGACCATCCAGACTCTTCTGCCTGAAACACTTTCCTCCAAACAGCCTCTCCCCTGACTTATCCAAAGTTGCATCCCTTCCCCACAGCATTCTCTGTGCACAGAACTGTATTATTCTCCTAGTTACTTAGCACTTTCTAATATTCTCTGCGACTGTAATTGTTTATATATCTTCTTTCATTAAAATAGAAGTGTGAGTGCAAAAAGGCATTTTATCTGTTTTGTTTGCTTCTATATTCTCAGTATCTGGACCTGTACTGACTGAACAAGTGAATGAGTGAGGTGTTTTCTTGACTTTTCCACTGAGAGAGGCCTTGAAAACTCTTAAACAACCAAGTAAGAAAATGGAGGCCAAGAGCAGAGAAGTAGTCTGGCAAAGTCACATTAGTAATTACAAGTGGAATTTACCTAGCACTAGATTAAATGACTTTCAGTTCAGGGCTATTTTGTGGTCTAAGTCAAGGAAACTACTTTTAATAAACATACCAACTATCCTTCTCCTCCGTTTTATGCATATATGTGTTATTTTATTTACTTTATATGTTATTTTATGCATATATATCTATATAGATATCTATATAGATATATATATCTCCCTTATAAGAAAATAGGAAAGGAATGAAGATAGGAAATAATGTTTGTGAGCATATTTTTTAAAATATACATGCATAGATAAGCACAGTAAATGTTTATATATTGTTTTCAAAAGTTAAGAACAATAAACACAGTAATACAATTAACTAACTTGAAAAGTGGCAATAACCTGGGCACTATGGGTACATTTGTGACCACTGTTTTGATGTAGGTCTATGATTTTTTTTTTCTTTTCAAGGGAAATGTTTTAGAAAGTTTTTGGTGCACTGGGCATTTAGTTCAGTAGTTCCACTGCGTGCTTCGCAAGCACAAGGTCCCAAGTTCGATCCCCGGTACCCAAAGAAACAAAAAACCCAAAAAATGCTCCAAACACTAGAAAGTGTTTGGTGTTCCTGGGAAATAAATGTGAGATAATCAGCTAGTGTTATTATTTCAGTCTAAATTTTTTTAGTTGCTCAAGTATTTAGGAAACCTTTTGAAGAATATGTCCAAAGAAGAAGAATGAAGGAGGCAGAGAGGAAGGAAAGAAGACAGGGAGAAGGAAAAGAAGGAAGGAGGAAAATTAGAGAGTTGAGAGAGAACACTACTACCTTGCTTAGTAAGAGCACTAGCATTTCATTGCTATACACCATATAGCATATGAATCCACTTCGGAGAAATAAAATACAGCTACATTAAAGGATTTACACTCAAGTATTCATGCTGTCTACCAATTAGCCACCACACTGATGATCACAAGGCCACAGCGTAGTTTTCTGTGGATACAAAAACCTCTTTCTTATGTGCTGCTGGCTTTTGCTTGCATGATCAATGTTCTAGCACACAACAAACCAGACTAACTTCATACCTCTTTCTAAAATAGCACTTCTGATTACAAAAGATTAACTTCAAATAAAAGGACTAACATTTCAAAGGAAATCAAAGAAATACAATGCAACTAAAGTATGGGCATCTTCTAAAATGTTGAGAGCCTTTTTGGATGCTGTAATAAACTGGTGTGAACAGCCTGTGTAACAGCTCCACAAGGCTAGTCTGACCCCATTACAGTCATTCTGCCGCCGAAGGGGGTCTTGTCCTGGACAAATGCCGCATTTTAAAAGCAGGTATGTTGGCTTCTTGCCCTAACATGGCTATTGCATAACATGTTTCAGTATTCACTTTCTAGTTCCTTCCATTTTATTTTATCAAAAGTTTAGGCAACAAGCAAAGAATGTACATAAGATGAACGGGCACATTTTGAGAAAAATCTGACCCTCAATGAATACACACATACTGCATATCTATCTGGTTCTAAAAGACTTTTAAAAAGACCTAATGCTCATTCAGAAAAAAAAATTTTTTAAGTCCTCAAAAAAGTTCCATAAAGACATATTTGTTCTATAAAGATAAATGATTGATGTCACTATAGTTTTGACAAAGGAATTTGACATGTCATTGTGAGCTTTTATTATTTTAAAGAAACAAGTATATACATTAATTTAGGAAGAAATGTTCATATTTTATATGCCATTAAAAAAAACATTTGAAAACAATGAGTCACAATTATTAGGAGAATTCTCTGCCTTTAAAAGTGTCCAAACTATGCCTCTTTCCCATTAGGTTATTCTTAGTTTCTTCAAGTAGGACAAGGAACAAACTGTTCCAACCCACATGCTGTTCAAAATAGGGCCTAGATGCCCATGAACTTTGATCTTAGCCCTGGAAAAGAGTCCCACAGTGCCAAAGATTGCTGTGCTGACGTATCATGGAGGTAAATTATACAAACTTGTGGGAAGAATGAAGGAAGGAAAAGTATTTCTAAAAAAAAATTTCCCCTAGGGAAATCAATACACTATTTATAGAACTTATCTTAAAACTATTTTTTAGTGTCTATGAAAAAAAGGATCTTTTAAAAAAATCCACATAAATTTTAAAAACTTAGTTGCATATTACATTGTTATTAGTTATACACAATTATCCGCAAACAGTCATATACATAATTGTTTCTGCTGCACAAAGTTAACTGTTCTTTTAAGTTTTTAATTTTCTGGTAAGCTCAAGATATAAATAAGAAACTTATTTCAATCAACTACACTTAGAAAAGAAAGTAATATATAAAAGTAGCCTTGTTTATTGCACTTAACTAGAATCCTAGAACAGTTGAACAATGATAGTTTTAGTGTCTTCTTTTTCATTATTTTTAATTTAGCAAGAAGGATCACAACTGAACAGATGTGACTGTGACAAACACACATGAAAAAGCAAGACAAGAGTAAGAGTGAGAGGCTCAGGAATTATGTTTTGAACACGAATCTCAGCATCGATCTCAGCTGTGAAGATACTGTTCAGTACGTGCACCTGAATGTCAGAGATGGGGTCCGAAACAAAGACCAAGTTGGGACCTTTTACATTTCCAACCAGGCAGACAGCGTGAATGAAATGGAAGCTACTGCTCATTTATAGCAACGGTCTGTTTGTATGGAACAAAGAATAAAGAACCCTGGGAGAGACCCACATGGACAGAATGACAGTGAAACAGTTTACACAAACACACATGCCCACCCTTCACATACTTTTATTGTATTGACGATATATGAAGTATCTTCCTGGCTGTAGTTTTTTAGGAGCATTATATAACAAGCACAGGTAAAGCAAAGTAATTTACCAATACTTTAAACACAGAATTTGGACACTAAATACACAGACATGCCGTGCACTGCAAAAAAATTTAAAAAGCTTAGCTTTTCCTTTAGTTCTCAAAATATCTATAGTCCTTTCTCCCTCAATGCTGACATAACCCAAGTGGCCCTGGTATCTTTTCTTTCTGGTTACTTAAATACAGTTTTCACAAAAACCATTCTAATAAAACTCAAACTTCATTTATCAAAATACGAAGTTGAAGTCTAAATCATATGAAATCCGAATTTCAAGGGTAAATCTGAGTTTGCTATTGCTGGTGAGTCCATTATGCTTGTGTGACTATGTGTGTATCTCACAATAGCAAATATGAGGGAGAGTAGGATGCTGCTTAACAGATAACCACTGTCCAGCAGATGCCCATAGCATGCAATGGTGACGTCCAAAACAGTGTCTCTAGACAACACCAAATGCACCCTGGCTGGGAAGGCAAGAGGGGGGCAAAATCACCTCGAGCTAAGTACCACTGGACTAAGTGCCTTCCATGCATTATCTCACTAAATGGTCACACTGCTCCAATGCAGCAGGTATCATTATTCCCTCTGCCAGTTTTCAGATGAAGAACGAAGGGATTTACCTAATTGTTGAAAGTCACCTGGCCGGTAAGTGATGTTTCCCTTTACAAATTCCAGTATACCTGTCTCTAGAGTCAGCATTCAGCCACCAGAATGCAATGGAACATGTGTAAAAATACGTGAGAGAGGAGAAACTGTCCTGTGTTTTAGAGGAATTACTTAGAGGTCATAAAACTTTCTTATTTAGTCTTCCTGCAATCTATGAAGTATCATACAAGTATTGAATGACTACTATATTTCATACCATTTCACACCAGCAGAATCAATAATAAACTGTGATGTTTCCCTTTACAAATTCCAGTATACCTGTCTCTAGAGTCAGCATTCAGCCACCAGAATGCAATGGAATGTGTGTAAAAATATGTGAGAGAGGAGAAACTGTCCTGTGTTTTAGAGGAATTACTTAGAGGTCATAAAACTTTCTGATTTAGTCTTCCTGCAATCTATGAAGTATCATGCAAGTATTGAATGACTACTATATTTCACCTTTACAAATTCCAGTATACCTGTCTCTAGAGTCAGCATTCAGCCACCAGAATGCAATGGAATGTGTGTAAAAATATGTGAGAGAGGAGAAACTGTCCTGTGTTTTAGAGGAATTACTTAGAGGTCATAAAACTTTCTGATTTAGTCTTCCTGCAATCTATGAAGTATCATGCAAGTATTGAATGACTACTATATTTCATACCATTTCACGTCAGCAGAATCAATAATAATATTTCATTCATTCCCATACTTTTTACACGCAGAATAAAATCTGCCCCAGGAAACTTACGGTCCACTGGAAGCTGTCTGTATCTCTGGCCATCTCGCACAGTACTGCCCCCGCTGTCACTGGAGCCACTGTTCTGACGAGTGATATTCGCCGGGACCTTTGACATGGGAACAGGGGCTGGTACTGAAGGGGGAAGAGGGACAGGAACGGGAGCTGGTGTTGGAGGAGGTGACGGGGCAGAAGGAGTATCAGTTGGTCTTGGGCCATACTCCATCCTTTGTTTCTATAAAAAGACAAGTAATTTTAAATTTATAAATATATATAAGCCTAGGTTAAAAAAACAAATTATACACTGAAAGGACACTCTTAGCTACTTATTTATAAAATTATGTTACAAACCCACAACAGATTTATATGTGTGTATACACACTCACCTTCACATATTGCATCCAATGTGGTATAATAATCATTAAGAATCATCTTATAAACATTTTATATATTTGTTCAATGACAATATGTAAGTTTACAGGCAAGGATATACCATGAGCAAATAGTACTGGAAAAATAAATTTAGACTTGGAATCACAGGAGACCTGAATAGTCAATTTGTGATTCTTTTATAATTTACCTTAGTAATAATTTCTAAAGCCATTGGAAGTCAATGCCAATAGGACCAATATCACTTCTTTTATATGTATGCCATATGCAAAGGTTTTTGATTCTGTTGTCCCCAGGTTATTGTGAAAGGGGCAGTATGCTAGTAAGCACAGGGCATATGCTTTAAAAGAGACAAATGCTCTTAAAATGTTGCTATTAATTTTTTCAGGGCACAACTCTTTCTGCCACCAGAAAATGGGAATGGGGTGAGGTAGATGGTTGTGGGGCTGGGGTTTTAGCCCGGGAGGTGAGATCAGTGGTAGAGCACTCGCCTAACATGAGCAACATTCTGAGTTCCATACCCAGTACTACAAAAACAAAAAGGTAAAGTCTTAAATTAAATATTTAGGACTACAACTTACAAATGAGCTAGAAAAAAAGGTGCATATTTTAAAAAGCAGATGTGATAATATATGCAATATTTTCAAATAATATTTTAATCATGTATTAGGCAATTATAAAATATTTATGCATATTCTTTATAAAATACACAATAAAACTTTAAACGGAAACAAAAAAATTGCACCTAATAGTTAACTGTATCACAAGAGGCTCCAAATTCTGAAAGGCATATCAATCATCTTTATAGACTCAAAGACACAGAAAGCAATGACTTGTAACTCAGCTAAAGTTTCAATGTTACTCCAATACAATTTTAATTATTGTAAAATTTAGGTTTAGCATGCAAAATACAAAAAAACCAAAAAACAAAAAAACTTTTGAAATCTGGTCATTTGATTATAACAATATTTACTTTTAATTCCAAATTGGCCCAAATATAAGATAATATTGATTTTAAGAGAGTCCTCCCCAATTTCCACAGAGATTAAAAACATAAAAATACACAGCACGCACACATCATTTCTAAGTTAAATCATTACTCAAAAAAAACAAAACAAAACAAAACAAAAACAAAACACACCAATCTTCATCATGCTGCTGTCAGAGCAAATGATTACCCCCTGTGGAAGCCGTACGGAGGGAGCCTCTTTCTTTTCTGTTGTTTCTTAAAAAACTACTCAGCCAGTGGGGTGGAGAGGGTGGAAAAGATGTAATGCACAGGTGGAAGGAGAACTGAAAGTTTACAGTGCTGCGAGATACTGTCCGGTACTGGGAATAGAACTCAGGACCTTGCTCTTGTCAGGAAGGTACAGCACCTTTTAGCTAAATCCCCAGTCAGTGCTGCTAGATATCGAGGGAGCAGGAGGTCATAGGGAGAGGCAGGGTAAGAGAAGAGGAGGGCGAGCAGGTAAAGAATATCCCATGGAGTGAGATGGGACAGAAGTGGGTTACTAATCTGCCCAAGGCCTAGAAACATTTCTACAGTATTCAGTAATATAATGCATGACTATTATACTTCACAAAATAGTCTTCCTATATTTGGGCCAATAAACACTTAAAGGAATCAAAATACAGCAAGCATCAGAATATACTTAGCACACACCAAAGTCACTTGACCTCTCTATGTCAATGTCCCTTCACAAGAATGTGCTTTGCATGTAATTTCACAAAGCTTAACAAATTCTCACATTAGGGTTTCAAAAATGTCAAAATTTATTGTTTTTAAAGCATAGAAAATGCTAAACACTCTGCATTCTGTGGTGATTCATATTTTCTGCTTTCATAAAAACAAGAACAGCTAATGTTTTGCTACCCATCAAATAACACTGTGCAAGACTGAATACACTGTGTGTTATCATCATGATGAAGCATGTATACAGTTCACCAAATGTTTGGTGCCTTCCTTCTTTCTTCTGCTATTGCTATACAGTGGGACCTTGTCAGCATGACCTAACAGAACAGTAAGTTTTAAAAAAATAAACCTCATATGAAAATTTCCAAACCCATGTGAAAACTGTTTATGACTTAACAGCATCGATTATGTTTGCTTGCATATTTTCTCTTAGTCTCTCCTCCTGCCTCCTTCTTCCAACCATGGGAAGTGAGAAAAGGTGCCTCCCTGTATTCTCCATGCCCACTGCCCACCGTCTGCTCTTCCTTTCATTAATTCTGCCTCCTGGTTACCTCCAGTTGGAGGTATGGCATGACTCCTTCATACCCTCAGATTATGGAAAGTCTTGAAGCCTTTTCCTCCTGCACCAAAGGCCTGAAAGCTCCAATCAAGAAATCCTGACCAACTTCCCAGTTGTGACTTACTGGGACTTTCCCAGTAAATAGCACTGAAAATGCTATACTCCCACAAAGCCCTCAATTGTGGGTAAGTGTTGGATCAAACTGCTGGGGGTCACTTTAGCACTGAAACTGTCAATTCCTAACTCCAGCCTCTTTTCCCTCCCAATGAAAGGTTACGCCTATAATAGTAACACTTTTTGTCTTTCTCTGAAAGAACTCAGAATTTCTAGACCTTACAGGAAATTGACTTTCCTATCAATGATTAAATTGGATTGAGTTACTTTTTCTTAGCAACTAAAGCTGAGTACAAATTCTCGTGTAGGGTTAAACAGAGTTACTGAGAGATAAGCTCCTGATTCGTGCAAGATACTGCTTCAGAGGGGAAATTATGCAAGTAAGCCCAACAATGCCATTAAAATTAAATTGTTCTTAAAAATTGTAACCTACTCTGAATTACACATTTGTCTCTAAATTTAGTCTCTCTGGAGCCCTGCAATGAAAACAGTAGAGCTGGAACATTTGGAGAGTGTTAAGTCCAGAGATCGAATCCAAAAAATTATATTAAAAAGAATTGCCAGGAGGGAGCAAGTGTGGGTTACCTCAGACAGCTCGCCAAGTAATTGCTAATAGGAAAATGGAGCAAATCACATTAAATGAGAAAATTAAAACAGAGTATGGAACTAAAATAATATCAGTTGCGATTTACATAAAATATCAGAAAACATAAGCAAATCAGTTTTTGATGGCAAAATTACCTACCCAAAAGTCAACCAGTGAAAGGCCTTGTAAATATATAATTAGTTTCCATCACTCTTATGCAGCTATATAAAACTAATCATATAGATTATACCACAGGATAAACAGTGTAGTGCTTCAGCTACAACTATTTGAATTTTAAAGTATCATGTTAAGATATTATGATATAGGTTCATTTTCTTACACTCTATAAAGAATTTAGAGTGCATTAAATATAAATGCACTGCTTTTTAACAGCTGCTTTTACAAAAGGGAATATACATTCATGTAATGATTCTCGTGTGCTTTGGTTCTGAACTTGAAAGCAGTCCAAACAGAACATTTTTATAATTGTGTGCATATGTATGCTGGACAGTAATTATATACTTTAGAGTGGTTGTTATTCAAGTTTTCACAAAAAAATGTTAGGGAAAAATGTCAGTATGTGAGGCAGAATAAAAAGTACCATCCTCAAGGTCAAATATATAAAGAATAAAACAGTGTTTACCAGGGGGCCCCACAAGGGCACTGGAAAGAGGTAAAAGATGATTATATGATGGAAAGTAGCAAATATGTAGGCTGCACAAGTAGAAAGATCAATATACAATGTGAGTGCTGTAGCTAGTAACAGCATCTTGAGCTCAGGAGTTTTCCTAAATAGATCACAGCTCTTCCTGCCCACAATGTGATGGGTAATTGTGTGGGATGGCGGCTATGTTATCTGAGTACTGCACATTTTACTACACTGTACATGTACATCATACATGTGTATCTTAAACACAAAAGAATATACTTAACCAACAAAAAAGGGTAACTGTCCTTCTCTCAAAACCTTGCCTCTCATTAAAGAGCAGTCTTCTTACATTGTTTTAAAATGCAAATTTTAAGACTGAATATATTACCACGAAGTTGGCGGCTGGAAGATACAGCTCTTCCTGCCCACAATGTGATGGGTAATTGTGTGGGATGGCGGCTATGTTATCTGAGTACTGCACATTTTACTACACTGTACATGTACATCATACTGTGTATCTTAAACACAAAAGAATATACTTAACCAACAAAAAAGGGTAACTGTCCTCTCAAAACCTTGCCTCTCATTAAAGAGCAGTCTTCTTACGTTAAGTTTTAAAATGCAAATTTTAAAGGACTGAATATTACCACGAAGTTGGCCTGGCTGGAAGAATATGAAGAAATGATTAATAAAATAGTCACAGCCTGGGCAACTGGGCAAGATCCTGTCTCAAAACAAAATTTAAAAATTCAAAAAAGGCCGGGGATGTACTTGATCAGTGCAAAGGCCCTGAGTTCAATTCTCAGTATGAGAGAGAGTGAGAGAGTGAGAGAGCTAAGCACTCACTCAGTCTCTGTCCAGCAATATTTGTGTATCTGGATTAAGCTTGAAACATGAATAACATGGATGAACTTAGTGGTAGAAGTTTAACAGTCACCTCTAGAAAAATACTTCCACCTTTAATTTAGTGTTAAAGATGTACACAGAGGATAAGAGAATTTTGTATCTAGAGTGGATTACTGAGATCATGTAACTAGAATCCTTCTATGTTAAAGCCAAACAAACTGGAACACAGAATGATAAAATGCCATCTTTAAAGCCATGCAGTTGGCTAGTGGAAGAAGCAGGATGAGGATATTCATTTCCCAAGGCACAGGATTTGCCCGTTGTATCTTAACTGGGAGGGACCAGGTAACATGGGAAACTTAGTGTTGAATTCACAAGACCACAAAGACCAGACACTC